AAGGGAGGTGTGGCTAGGGCTGCATAAACAGAAACAAAGTGATTTAACTCCTAAATGACAGTGAATTGAGCAGTGAAATTGCAGGGGAATGATCTATACACTAAAATTGCTTTATTTAGCTAAAGTAATTTAGGTGACTATAGTGTTCCTTTAACCCTTAAGGACCAAACTTCTGGAATAAAAGGGAATCATGACATGTCACACGTGCCATGTGTCCTTAAGTGGTTAAAAGAAAAAAAACTACCACAACAAGAGGACATAGTCTTAAATTAGAGGGGCAAAGGTATAAAAATAATATCCTGAAGTATTACTTTACTGAGAGGGTAGTGGATGCACAGAATAGCCTTCCAGCTGTTGTGGTAGAGGTTAGCACAGTAAAGAAGTTTAAGCATGCATGGGATAGGCATAAGACTATCCTAGCTGTAAGCTAAGGCCAGGGACTAATGAAAGTATTTAGAAAATTGGGCAGACTAGATGGGCCGAATGGTTCTTATCTGCCGTCACATTCTATGTTTCTATTTTGAGTTTGATATGTTGAAATATATGTTTCATGAGTAGGGCACTTTCCTTACCATACTATGTTAAGGTGTTTTAATTTACAATTTTTAATTAATAAACATTTGAGATGTTATACACCAGGACAGTACTGCTGACTTTTAGTATTTTAAAAATAATTTTCCTGTAGGTTCTGTTACAAGAAGTAACCATATTGTGCTAACTGGTTTTGTTCTAGATACATCTACATAAGACAGAATGCTTACGAAGTAAATGAAAAGAAATTGCTGAATAAATGCAAAAAATATTAACACAATATAAAGGCAGCTTCTGAAGTGTAACATGAAATTTCTTGGAGCTGAGCTACTTTAAGTGCTTTTCATCAGAATGAATGGTCTAAACTCCTGAATTACCAGGCTGTCCTTTAAAAAACAGTTATGTTTATATAGATTAAGAAAACATAACTGCTAGCTGAGCACTAGGGTGAGGATTGCTGTGCATTTATTCTTTTTTTTACTGACTGCTGCTGTAATTTAGGCCAACACTTAGAGGAATCATTTGTTCTTTTTCCTGGCATTTTACTTAGTTACTTTTCATCTTAAAGAAAATTGCCTGGATGCCACCCGTTGTTTAGAAATGTGTAACAACCACTCTAAGGGGAACCAAAGTAGACATTTGCAAATCAAAACCTATAGAACAGGAAAAGGACTTACTTAATTTTGCATTTAGTTCAGGAGCTTAACGGGACACTCTACAGCCTTTGTAAGCACTCCTCTTCTAACCTTGAACAGACTTTCTGTGGCTGTCTAATCACAGACTTCCTAATGCAGTTCAATCAGAAGTCTTTGCAGGACAAGTGCTCTAGGGAATTGCTGCCTCTTGGGTTTAGCTCCACTGAGCTAAACAAACCAGGAAGTAATATGAACCGTTTTCTGATTGAAATACAAGTGGGTGTAACAAGGTTAATTTCTAAAAGTGTCAATTTCTATTTATAGCGGTTACCCCGGGGAGTAGAGGGGTTTCCACCGCTGGAGGGTGTCCTTCTCCTGATGAGTAAGGGGTATTCTCAGAATCCAGTCTTCATCCAGGTGAGGTAGCTCTAGATAATCACACCCACTTATTACAGTAAGAATCCTCCCCTCTGCTTGGGAGATAATTGAGTTAATTACTGTATCAACTCAATTATTTCCAAGCTAAAAAAACATACTTTTATACAATTTTTGTAACTTTGTGATTATACATGCAATTCTAATAAAACTTCAATTTTTTACAACCAGCATAACTTGGGGACAAACATCCAAAATTCACTTGAATCGGTTAAGTGGTTCAGGAGATAGGTGGAAGTCCTATTTTGACCGACCGCACGCCATTTTCATGCCCAAAACAGTTCCAGAGATTCAGGCTGTGCGGCCGGTCTATTTCCCATAAAAAAATAACTAAGTCCCATTCGAATGTACGAACAGGGCGCCATTCGAGCAAATTGCCCAGTATAACAGTGCTTTTGAATCATCGAACGCACTTAGATTTCAGTCGAAGTGTCAAAGTTCCAGAGAAGGTAAGGGTCATGGGTGTTTGTGTTGTTTTGTAGCCGATTTCAGTTCCATGAATTTGGCGGCACACACCGCTGACCGCGTTCGACTAAATAAAGATGGTTGGCAATTAATCTGCAGTTAACCACCAGCCTTGGAGGAAAATATACTTCCACTTGCGTGTGGTCCGCCTGTTTGGTAATTGGTTTGGTAAGTCCAAATTACCGAACCATATGAGAAAAGGACATTCACAACGTATTTTAAAGGTCTGGGAACACAGTCTTAAAAGGGGCATTGTTCCCCAAAGTCTCAATATGCCTGTATACTGTGCTTAAAGGACAGCACTAGTCCAATAAAAGTCCATTAGCCCAACTAATGTTTTTAAAGGGCCATACACACCAGGGCCATAGTCATGAGGCAGTTTGTCACACTATTGAAATCTGCACTTTTTTTTAAATGAAGAGAGGACATTCAATGAATGCATAAAGCACTTTAGTAATGCTTTAAAGTAGTCCATATGAAAAGTAAATATTATTAGAGTCAGTTGACTTGGCTTTTTATTGATGGCTAAATATGTGAATAGATTTTGGATAATAATAGAAAAAAATAGTGAGTAGGTAGCTTTAAACAAAGAAAACCACCCTGCTTCACTAAAGATACCTCTACCAATAAAAATCAATATAAGATAAAAAACTTTATTAAGACAAAAAATAAATACTTAAACTCACTGCAAAATGTGTATGTGTAAAAAAACGTGAAAATAAAAATGACTGCTAGATTGTACCATTAACCCCAGCGTTGCCTTGAAGAGATTCCCCAGGCTACAAAAGTAGCAAATATACAAAAATAACAAGAGTAGAGTTGAGTGAACTCGGACTGTAAAGTTCGGGTTCATACCGAACATTAAGATTTTTGGACCCTGGACTCGAACACGGACATAACAGTGTATGTTCGGGTTGGAGTTCGGCAATTTTATGGTGCATTTTGAAAGGCTGCAGGGCAGCCAATCAACAAGCATTTGACTTGTGTGCCCTTAGAAGCCAGTGCGGCCATGCCTACTAATGTCATGGCTCTGATTGGCCAGTGCAGCATGTGACCCAGCCTCTATATATAAGCTGGAGTCACGTAGCGCCGCAAGCACATGAGCTCTTATTAGTGTAGGGAGAGGATGCTGCAGCTGTGAGGGACAGATTAGGAAAGAATTCTGGTGTTGAATCTGCAAACTACAGCGATTATTTTTGTGGGTGCTATAATACATTTTTTTGTACCCTGCCTTGAGCCCAGTGCCACAGAGAGTGCAGTGCACTTGTAACTGCATGTGTGCCAGGCACATTACTTTAATCCTGTTCTGGTAGCTCAATGGGCAACATCTAGGCATTTTTTAAATACTGCTATTTTTTTGGTACTAAATAGTACATTTGCGTACTGCGTTTCTTGCAGTCCAATAAAACCCTTAAATACTACTGTTACATTGTTGGTTTCGAAAATATAACTTTTTGCTGCTAAATAGTACATTTGTGGCCTGCGGTGCACTTCATATCTGAGAGTCAAATAGAACCGTCAAATACTGTGTTTACATCGCACTTTTAAAAATTCAATTTTTTTGGTGCTGAATAGTACATTTGTGGCCTGCACTTCATATCTGAGATTTAAATAGAACCATTAAATACTGTGCTTACAGTGCAGTTTTACAAATTATAATTCTTTAGATGCTAAAAAGTTAATTTGTGGCGTGCACTTCATATCTGAGAGTCAAATAGAACCGTCAAATACTGTGCTTACAGCTCATATTTAAAAATTCTAATTCTTTAGGTGCTAAAAAGTTAATTTAGGGTGTGCATTTCATATCTGATAGCAGGCCCGGACTGGCCATCGGGCATACCGGGCAAATGCCCGGTGGGCCGCGATGGCCGTGGTGCCGAGGCCGGCAGGGGAGATCCTGTCGGCCGGCTCCTGCAGGGCCAGCGCTACCCGAGCGCCGGCCCCGCTGTGTGCCTCCATGGGCCGGTGGGGAGATCAAAGATCTCCCTTTACCGGCCCAGAGACACTTCCAGGCGGCCGCTTGCTGGGGTGTGAGGGAGGGAGGAGAGGACCGGCAGAGCTCTATCCAGCAGCTCCGCCGGGTCCTCTTGCGGGATTCTGAGCGTTGCTGCGGTTACCGCGGCAATGCTCAGATCTCGCGAGAGTGAACTCTAGCTTACAGGCTAGAGTTCACGCTCACCACTAGGACCACCAGGGATCAGGCAGCATGGCTCTCCCATGGCAGAACGGCTCCCCCCCGTCCCAGGCAAAACGGTTCCCCCCCCTCCTCCCAGGCTAAAGGTAAGAAGGGAGGGGGGGGGATATAACTTTTTTTTTAATTATTATTATTAATAAAAAAATTAAATAATTAATTTAAATTAAAAAATCACACTCACACACACACATCACCCCCAGACACACACAGCACCCCCAGACACACACAGTACCCCCAGACACACACATCACCCCCAGACACACACAGTACCCCCAGACATACACATCACCCCCAGAAACACACAGCACCCCCAGACACACACATCACCCCCAGACACACACATCACCCCCAGACACACATCACCCCCAGACACACAGCACCCCCAGACACACACAGCACCCCCAGACACACACAGCGCACCCAGACACACACAGCGCACTCAGGCACACAGCACCCTCACTCACACACAGCACCCTCAGACAGCACCCTCGCTCACACACACACATATATATATATGTATGTGTGTGTATATATATATATATATATATATATATATTTACAGATATATATATATATATATATAAAATAACCCTCAGTGAGTTAACAGACAAAGAAAATTAGAATGTGACGGCAGATAAAAACACCCTCACACACAGCACCCCTCTTACATACACACACACTGCGCCCCTCACACATACAATACGTCCAAATATATATATGTATGTATATATATATATATACACACACACACACACACACACTACAGCACTACATACATTACGCTCCAGATACACGCTAGATCCCTTACCTTATATGCACTCTTAATCCTCTATACACACACACACACACACACACAATCTCCTATACACACTCTGGGTCCTTTACACACTAGATCTCCTACACACACACTGCACCACCTACACACACACTACATTCCTTGTCAGCAAACACATACAACTTTCTCTAAACACACCCTCTCTACAACCCCTACACACACTACATCACCTATACACACACACTACAGCCCGTATGCACACACTCGCTACATCCCCTATAACACTATGCCACCTATACACACACTCTCTACAGCCCCTAGCCACACATATTACACCACAAACACATATGAAATTGACCTATTTACACAATACCACACCACACTCTACACACACGCAATCCCACAAGCAGGCTCCAAACACATGCACCATACACTTTCCTGGCCCTTTTGTCCTCTGGTATCCCACTTGTTGAGACACCAGAGACAATTTAAAAGCAAACACAGCGCAAGCATGTTATTAAATTTGCTTGCGCTGCGCAGAACAAATTCAGGGCCTTTTTCTAATGCTAGAGCTCTTCAGCGGGGCTCTGCGCATTGAACCAACATGCTCACTTTGAGAGCGGGCGTGCTTGTCATTAGTGATGACAAAACACACCCTCTCTGGCCCCGCCCCCTTCTTAGGGGGCCGCTCTGATTGAAAAATGCCCGGGCCTAATTTTTTCCCCAGTCCGGCCCTGTCTGATAGTCAAATAGAAGCGTCAAATACTGTGGTTACAGCGCAGTTTTAAAAATTCAAATTCTTTAGGTGCTAAAAAGTAAATTTGCGGCGTGCACTTCATATCTGAGAGTCAAATAGAACCGTCAAATACTGTGCTTACAGCGCATTATTAAAAAATTCAAATTCTTTAGTTACTAAAAAGTTAATTTGGGGCCTGTACTTCATATCTGAGAGTCAAATAGAACCATCAAATACTGTGGTTACATTGCCTTTTAAAAATTCAAATTCTTTAGATGATAAAAAGTTCATTTGTGGCGTGCACTTCATATCTGAGAGTCAAATAGAACCGTCAAATACTGTGGTTACAGCTCATTTTTAAACATTCAAATTCTTTAGGTGCTAAAAAGTTAATTTGGGGCCTGCACATCATATCTGAGAGTCAAATAGAACCGTCAAATACTGTGCTTACATTGCAGTTTTAAAAATTCTAATTCTTTAGGTGCTAAAACGTTAATTTGGGGCCTGCACTTCATATCTGAGAGTCAAATAGAACCATCAAATACTGTGATTACAGCGCATTTTTAAAAATTCTAATTCTTTAGGTGCTAAAAAGTTCATTTGGCGCCTGCACTTCATATCTGAGAGTCAAATAGAACCGTCAAATACTGTGGTTACATTGCCTTTTAAAAATTCAAATTCTTTAGGTGCTAAAAAGTAAATTTGGGGCATGCACTTCATATCTGAGAGTCAAATAGAACCGTCAAAAACTGTGCTGACAGTGTAGTTTTAAAAATTCACATTTTTTTGCTGCTAAATAGTACATTTGCGGCCTGCGGTGCACTTCATATCTGAGAGTCAAATAAAACTGTTAAATACTGTGGTTACAGTGCATTTTTAAACATTCAAATTCTTTAGGTGCTAAAAAGTTAATTTGGGGCCTGCACTTCATATCTGAGAGTCAAATAGAACTGTCAATTACTGTGCTTACAATGCAGTTTTAAAAATTCAAATTCGTTAGATGCTAAAAAGTAAATTTGAGGCATGCACTTCATATCTGAGAGTCAAATAGAACCGTCAAATACTGTGGTTACAGCGCATTTTAAAAAATTCAAATTCTTTAGGTGCTAAAAAGTTAATTTGGGGCCTGCACTTCACATCTGAGAGTCAAATAGAACCGTCAAATACTGTGGTTACATTGGCGTTTTAAAAATGCAAATTCTTTAGGTGCTAAAAAGTTAATTTGGGGCCTGCACTTCATATCTGAGAGTCAAATAGAACCATCAAATACTGTTGTTACAGCGCATTTTTAAACATTCAAATTCTTTAGGTGCTAAATATTACATTTGCACTTCATATCTGATAGTCAAATAGAACCGTCAAATATTGTGCTTACATTGCAGTTTTAAAAATTCAAATTCTTTAGCTGCTAAAAAGTAAATTTGGAGCGTGCACTTCATATCTGAGAGACAAATAGAACCGTCAAATACTGTGCTTACATAACAGTTTTAAAAATTCAATTTTTTTGCTGCTAAATAGTAAATTTGGGGCGTGCACTTTATATCTGAGAGTCAAATAGAACCGTCAAAAACTGTGCTTACAGCGTAGTTTTAAAAATTCTAATATTTTTGCTGCTAAATAGTACATTTGCGGCCTGCGGTGTACTTCAGATCTGAGAATCAAATAGAACCGTCAAATACTGTGCTTACAGCGCAGTTTTAAAAATTCAAATTCTTTAGGGGCTAAAAGTAAATTTGGGGCGTGCACTTCATATCTGAGAGTCAAATAGAACCGTCAAAAACTGTGCTTACAGCGTCGTTTTAAAACGTAAAATATTTTTGCTGCTAAATAGTACATTTGCGGCCTGCGGGTCACTTCATATCTGAGAATCAAATAGAACCATCAAATACTGTGGTTACAGCGCATTTTTAAACATTTAAATTCTTTAGGTGCTAAAATGTACATTTGGGGTGTGCACTTCATATGTGGTGTATGTGTGCAACACTGGCTAGTTACCGATTCTCAAGAAAGTCTAAGAAGACTTTTTAAAAAAGTGAAAAATAAGTGTTATTGCGATTGCTTCATATACAGAAGCATTAAGATACATTTCTATATTGTGTAAAGACACTACAAAGTTAAAAACCAAACACTAAAACAACGTGCCAGACAATCTACCTGTGCTTGGCTAGTGTGATACAATAAGTCTACATCTTAAAAATGCAATAACCCACAGAAGATGGGCGAGAATTTTTTTTTTTGCAAAGGAACTTTGATTCGAATTTACTACATGGGTCACTTGAAATATTGTTTCATACCTACAACACTTGTTAAACAGATCTAAGTGATAGAAAACAGATTGATATTTACTACACTAGAAACTACCAGATGACAAGCTGCTATATATAAACCAGTTATCAATAGCTAAGAGGTACTTAAACAATATTGTAATTCTGGGGCAATACCCTCACAAGTCAAACTGAGAGGTCAGTTTATAGGGAAAACTGTTGCCTGGATACAATTCTAAAGCAATTTCCTTATGTCCTTTGCAGACTTTACATGCTGGAAAAACACAGGTGCCAACTGCTGTGGCTTTCTGCAGTGTGCAGACCGGCAAGGAGGGCAGGGTTGAGGAGTGGGTGGAAGATGATGTGGTGGATGATGAGGTCCTAGACCCCACAGGGAATGAAGGTCATGCGAGTGACATGTGCAGTTTGTAGGAAGAGGCGGTGGTCGCACAGAGGCTCCAGCAGAGCATAAGAGGTAGATGGGTGCAAAAGCGAAGCGGCCGTCCCCTAGTGCTCATCGGCATGTATTAGCTCTAGAATTACCACAGTTATCCAAGTAACAGATGGAGAGATCAAAGGAACCATAACTGATTTAATGAGCCATTCGCAGTTTCACTGTAGCGACTGTGCGTGCTTTCGGCGTTCTCACCCTGCTGCTGCTCGCCTGTCTGCGCTGCAGCGTAACTTCGGCCTTCCCGCTCACCGCCTCATATGTGACGTGCCCACAAGGTGGAACTACACCTTGCACATGCTGGAGAGACTGTGCGAGCAGCATCAGGCGATAGCGGAGTTTCAGCTGGAGCACGCATGGGTCAGTCGCTCTGCACCAGACTTGCACTCCACTAGATCCTCGTTAAAGGATTTAAAGTGGACTCATTCCAATTACAGGGCCTGGAAAGAGTCCTGTATTGTTATTTATTGTCACTACCTCATCGCGTCGGGAGTGGGTAATTTGTGAGTCTGCTGCCTTCCTTGGATGTGGTAGCCGTTTCCCAGGCTCTCTCTCCGGAATCGAACCCCGATTCCCCGTTACCCATGGTCACCATGGTAGGCGCAGATAGTAATATCGAAAGTTGATAGGGCAGACATCTGAATGTGTCGTTGTCGCCACGGTCAACGCCTCCTCAACCTCCTACTCCACATCCACCTCCTCCTCCTAGTGCAGGGTGCAAAAGCGGAGCAGCTGTCCCCTAGACAGTACGCCTGCTACTGCCCACCGAACCTAGGGACCAAGCACACCAAAGCCAGCTCCAAGGAGTTCCCTGGCGTGGCAGTTCGAACGAGGAGAACCCAGTCGATTCCTGTGGCACCTCCCAATAGGCAAACAGGAGATGGTGCAGGAATCTCTCTCAATCATTGTGAGTAGCCGCAAAGGTCAAGAGCATTTGCTTCAATGTACCATTGAATCGCTCACACAGGCCATTGGTCTGGGGGTGGTAAGGGGAGCTCAGGATTAGTTTAATGTGCACAATCTCCACAGTTGGTGGGTCATTTCTGCAGTAAACTGGGTGCCCTGGTCTGAGAGAATTTCCCGGGTAAAACCCATCCGGGAGAACACTCGCATCAAGTCTTCAGCCACAGTCTCTGCCCGAATACTGCTCAGGGTACCGAGTCGTGTAGTCCACGATGGTCAGAATGTACTTCTTCCCAGAGGGACTAGGCTTGGCTAGGGGACCTACAATGTCGACAGCTACTCTGCCGAATGGTCCCTTCTCTTCCCCACTCTCTGGCAAACATCTGGCAGTACTGCCTCAGATCCTGAGAGATGCCTGGCCAGAAGAAGCTTTGGGTGAGCCGAGATGCTGTCTGGCTCCTGCCCAAATGCCCTGCCAAGGTGATATCATAAGCTAGATTCAGCAGCTCATACCAATACTTTTTGGGTCTGGGGCCGGCGGTCTCTCACCAGCCGTGTCGTTGGGGAGCCCATTGAAAAAGTGCTCTAGCATGACGAGCTGGGTGATCTCCTCTGGGAACTTGGCTTGATGGGAGTTGAGCCTGTTCTGGGTGGCCCTTGTGATGTGGCATACCCACTCCTTCTCCCCTTTCTGGGTCTCCCTAAACTTTTGGTGGCATTGCTTGGGGGTGACCGCATACCGGGCCAGGAGGATTTGTGTAAAGAAGGGATAGTCTCTGATCTGCTCTTCTGGTACAGAAGCCCAGTCGCTGGGGTCCACGTCTTGGGGTAGGCATTGGCGCTCAGAATCTTGTAAAAAGTAATCAATGCCTTCTTCTGCTTCCTTGAACTCTTTGAAGGCATTGCATGGTAGCTTGTGGGCCAGGGTGGTTGTGCTTCCTGGCGCCCTCTGCTCCCTTCTTCCTTCATCTGGGTTCATGGAGGTCGCCCTCTGTGAACGCTGTGCAGTCAGGTCCTGCTGACGATCTCCTCTGAGGTTGGCTCTCGGTAATATGCCAGGTGCTGGTCCACCTCCTTGCGCACTTCCTCATCATCTCCGGCCCCTGGGTTCGTTGACTCACTGCGTGCCTGGTCGTCCTCCATGAGCACAGCAGTCAATTTGGCCTTGTTATGCCCAGCAGGCATTATTCCTCTGGCTCCACACAAGTCCTGCAGTGTAGGTCGCTATAGAGCACTGTAGTCCATGGGTCTGTTGGCAGGGACATGGGATCCCGCCGCTTGCCACCAATTGAAGTGGGACCTGGGTAACCAATGGTTATCCCCTTTGATTAGAATAGGTCAGACCCATTTCCCCAGTAACTGGATGGGACACAGTTCCAGGACACAACATTTGACAATCTTTATTTCGGTACATCTTTTCCTCCTGTTGCCTCCTCCTCCTACTCCGCTTCCTCCTCCTCTACCACCTCCTCATCCGGTCAGCGTAACACCTTCACCACCAACTTCAGCACAGCCAGGGGGAAAACAGGCTGTTTTAAAACTCAGATTTTTGGGAAAAAAAACCCACACCAAGCAGGAGCTGTGGACAGGCATGGAGCAACAGACCGATGAGTGGTTGTTGCCCCTGAGCCTCAAGCCCGGCCTGGTGGTGTGCGATAATGGGCGAAATCTCGTAGCAGCTCCGGGCCTAGCCGGTTTGACGCACATCCCTTGCCTGGTGCATGTGATGAATTTTGTTTTGCAGAAATTCCTGAAAAACTACCCAGATATGTCAGAGCTGCTGCAGAAAGTGCGGGCCGTCTGTGCGCGCTTTTTTGGCGTTCTCACCCTGCTGCTGCTCGCCTGTCTGCGCTGCAGCGTAACTTAGGCCTTCCCGCTCACTGCCTCATATGCGATGTGCCCACAAGGTGGAACTCCACCTTGCACATGCTGGAGAGACTGTGTGAGCAGCAGCAGGCGATAGTGGAGTTTCAGCTGCAGCACGCACGGGTCAGTCGCTCTGCGGAACAGCACCACTTCACCACCAATGAGTGGGCCTCCAAGCAAGACCTGTGTGCCATGTTACGCTGTTTCGAGTACTCTACCAACATGGCTAGTGCCGATGGCACCATTCTCAGCATTACTATCCCGCTTCTATGTCTCCTTGAAGAAACGCTTTGGGCGATGATGGAAGAGGATGTGGCACCGGAGGAAGAGGAGGAGGAAGAGGGGTCATTTCCACAGTTATCAGGCCAGTTATTCACAAGTGGCTCGGAGGGTGGGTTCCTGCACCAGCATAGGCCAGGTACACAATTGTCCAGCATCTCCACACTGTCCCATGGAAGCGTTCAGCTGTCCATCTCCCTAACACTGGAGAGAAAGAGGAAGTAACCCCCTACCCACCCGCGATCCCTGGCCCTGAATGCCAGCATTTCAAAATTCCTGGCCTTTGGTGGAGACGGACAGTTTTAAAAACCTGATGGCGTTATTGGACTGCAAGAAATGCACCGCAGGCCGCAAATGTTTCTTTTTTTATATGTCCCAATATTTTGGGGGCTACCCCAATTAAAAAAAATCAAAAACAGTGTTGGCTACCTCCTCCGCCTCCACCGCCGCTTCCACCAACACCACCACAGTCAGCGCCTCCTCAACCTCCTTCTCCATATCCACTTCCTCCTCCTAGAGCAGGGTGCAAAAGCGGAGTGGCCGTCCCCTAGACAGTACGCCTGCTACTGCCCAACGCACACAGGGACCGAGCACACCAAAGCCAGCTCCAAGGAATTCCCTGACGTGGCAGTTCTTAAGACAATGTGCTGACGACAAGACACTAGTGGTTTGCACGCTGTGCAGTCAGAGCCTGAAGCAAGGCATAAACGTTCTAAACCTGAGCACAACCTACATGACCAGGCATCTACATGCAAAGCACGAGCTGCAGTGGAGTAAGCACCTCAAAACCAGGAAAGGTCTCAGGCTCCTCCTGCTTCCTCTTCTGCTGCTGTCTCGACCTCTTCCTCCACCTCTAGAGTGACAGTGGCACCTGCCACCCCGCAAACAGAGGATGTGGCAGCAATGCCACCATGTCCGCCACCGTCCCCAAGCATATCCACACTGTCCCATGGAAGTGTTCAGCTGTCCATCTTCCAAACACTGGAGAGAAAGAGGAAGTACCCCCCTACCCACCCATGATCCCTGGCCCTGAATGCCAGCATTTCAAAATTCCTGGCCTTTGAAATGCTGTCATTCCGTCTGGTGGAGACGGACAGTTTTAAAAACCTGATGGCGTTATTGGACTGGATCACAGGCCGCAAATGTTTCTTTTTTGATATGTCCCAATATTTTGGGGGCTACCCAAATAAAAAAATAAAATAAAAAAAACAGTGTTGGTGACCTCCGCCTCCTCCACCGCCGCTTCCACCTACACCGCCACGGTCACCGCCTCCTCAACCTATGGGTCGCTTTGAATAAACTATGTACACAATAGCAGAGGCTTGTGAAGGCATTTTCTCCATGCATCAGGAGTTGAGCTCAGTTTGAACAATGAAAGAGAATACCCTGCACTCCAACCCTCTCTCAAATGGATAATTCTGGTGATCCTCTTGACAGCCATGCTTTAGATTTTGATTTATGTTCTTCCAAAGCTAAAATCAAAGATAACATCTAGTGCTATTTTATGCCTTAGCTGTATTTTTAATTTTTAGGTATTTTATGTTATTTTAAGTGATTTCCCTATCCACATTTGTTTACAGGGCAATTGTCCTGCTCTTACCCCCATTTTACTTCCTTTTGCAGCTCTTTCCAGGACGTTTTTAGAGGCATTTTAGTGCCCAAGAGTTCGGGTCCCCATTGACTTCAATGGGGATTGGGTTCGGGGTCAAGTTCAGGTCAAGTTCGGCGAACCCGAATATCCAGGTGTCCGCTCAACTCTAAACAAGAGTAGATGTGATACAAAAATAACACTTTGCTTGTTGTATTTTCAAATAGCTCAAGTGACTGTGTGTATAATTAAGAAAGGACTAGAAGGGGGGAGGGAAGAGGAGAAATCCCCTGAAATTATAATATATCGAGGTACTCAATCAGTTAGAATATATAAGATTTAAAAATTTAGATTCCGTGATTGCCCAGGGTTTGTATATCAGGGAAAATCCTCATATGTAGGGGGAGGAGGGAAGAAAGAATTGATATCTTAATCACGGTACATACTGAGAAGAGTATACAGTATACACCCCCGATCTCTTAATAAAGGTTGCTCGCAACACAGAGTAATCTCAAATTGCAGTAGAGACCGTTGTTAGACTAATTTAGTATAGTTAGAAAGGGTTCAGTACTTGTAACCCCAGCAGTTGCTTTAACAAGTCCCTGCTATTAACGTGGGCTACCTTTTCATAGAGAGTACTCCACGTAAATAGCAGTAGATAGTCTGATTAGAAGTCACAATGAAAAAAAGTATTAGGAAGGGTTCACTAGTGATGTTTCAACCTCTATCCCTTCTCTGCCAATGTGGGTGAGTACCCTAAAATGGGGTATCCTCCCAACAATGCAGTGGCAGAGTCTATATGCAGAAAGATATCTGTTAGAAAGGCCCCCACTTGAAACGGGGGTCTGGAGTAAAGAGATGGCCATCACAATTGGGTTACTAGTGCAGTTTACTCCTAACTGGGAGCTAACTGCAACAAATCATAGCCAATAACCGCTATTTTTTCACATTTTTCAAACATATTTTATTTGGATTTGGATACCACTTACTTTCAATCTCATGATAATTAGTGACTGAGCTTTCCATATGAGTCGTGGGTCTTATAGGGAGACTTAGATTAACACTTACATATGTAGTTGATGGAGTATCTAATATAACATATAACTTTGCGATCTTCAAATTTAAT